GGTAGCGATATGAATTAAGGAATTGTAGTGGAAGAATAGAGACCCACAAGAAATCTAGTGAAGGATCCATGTGTAAAATGGCTGCTCAGTCTGAAGTGATAGCAACACAGGTGGTAAAAGTGGCCATAGTCTAGATGGATATTGTGAGTATAGCCAACAATATTTGCTCACAGATTATTTGTAAGATAGGAGAAAGAAACCAATTAAGATACTTCCAAAGATTTTTACTGGAGCAATTGAAAATATTGAAAGATTTTCTCAGATGGTCAAGACTGTGCAAGGAGCAGGTGGACATGATGAGAGTCTGACAAAGGTCTAATAGGAATGCATGAATAATAGTTTAGCTCTTCAGATCACAGTGACATTGTAGGACAGGAAAGATGGTGGGTAGGCCATCCTAGAGTTCCTGCTGTATGCATGTAAGCTTCCCTTGATGCATGATGTCACAGCCATGGAAAAAGAAATCCAGGTCAGCAGCTGCAAATCAGATGCCAGAAAGTGTGTGACCATTGCTTCAGTAAATGCAGTTACCACATCTAGTCCTAGGGTGGTGATTGTAATCAACACTGGGTTGAAAGTACACTCATGGTTAGTTATAGTAATTTGCTTCCAGACATTTGATTTTAACACTGGCCAGACAGGAAATGGAGATGTGGCATGGTCACCTCTATTTTTCTTTGAAATTGGTGATGGTGCCATTGCTATGAATGCATTTGTTTCAGTGATCTGGTGGATTTTATTGTGTGCTGTGTTACTTCAGGGTAGTTTGGGGTAGGATGGGGCACCTCGAGAAATTTCTGCTTGGTCTTTATTACCTTGTCTACACTGAATTCCTTGTTTACACCGAATTATTTCTGAGTCACTCACTGCTGCAATGTTCCAAGAGGAGAAAATGACTACAGGGTGGGGCCTCCATAGGTTCATTATTAGACAGTCCAAGTTAATAATACTCATTCCTATCACTTTATTAATTTTATTGTAATGGACTCAGTGACATTGGATACTGAAAAGTTTAGTTAGCATCTACTGATCTCCAGAAGATCTGAGTATTTGTGTTTCAAATCTTTTGGGGGAAATTTGTGGATGCATGTGTCACATGTTGGGGTACTCTTCTTGGGATCTGGCTTGTGATTCATGGCATGTGAGATTTTAGGCTGTGGACTCTTTTGGTTCTGGTATCTGGGCAAGAGGATATGAATCTCAAACGTATAGCTATTTAGTTTTATGCCCAGCAGACCCAGAAGTTTCTTGCTTATTTAAGACAAACAATACCTTAGCAGGCTGCCCATCTATCTTATCACTGAGAAGCTGTAGCCATTTTAGTTATTGCCACAGGTCCTTGCAAAGTAAAATTCTTTTATTACCTTACATTTTGTGGTAAATTGTTGTAATTGTGTCTTTGGTGTCTGCAATGGCAAGGCAGTTATAGCTGGGATTTGCCACTCCACAATCCTATTAGTCCCACTGTGACATTGAACCAGATCAGTTCCTTCCTGGTTCTCCATTCATTCATCTCTGTCTCAGCATCTGTAGTGTTTCTATGTATGGCCCCACCTTTGCATTTTCTGTTTTTTTTTTTCTCCATGGGTTAGAGCTCAATTAAGGAAGGATGCCACACTTTATGATCAATTCTCAGACAACAGAGGCATAGAGCTCACTCTTCTATGGCAGTGGTTCTTAGACTGTGTCCTTGAATCAGTGTGTCTGTAGAAACTTGTCAGGGTGCACACACCCTAGGTCTCCACCCTATGCTTTCAGAATTAGAGATTGTGAAGACCCTCAAATCTGCATCTCAGCAAGCCTCCTAGGTGATTCTGATGCATGGTGACTTCTAATAGCATCTGCTAGGCATTGCCAGGGTGGTGTAACAAAGGCTGAACTAACTAGGGTCAGCAGCCACCAATCTAAGGCCACATAGTAGAAGATGGATTTGGGTGGCTAAGGAACTGGCAGCTATGGCTTTGCAAGGGTATTCAGATCTCACAGCTGAGAGACTTTGGGGAGTGCACAGATTGTGTAATCCAATTGTAGGTATGAGGCAATTCGACAGTATGGTCATTGGAAGCTGACAGAGGGAGATCAGGGGGAGATCACATCTCACAGATGAGAGAGATGACTTCTCTCAGTCAGTTTCTTCTGTTAGGAAAGAGAAGTAGGATTTGGGGAAAAATAATTTTTTTCTGTGTCTGATTATTTTAGTTTTGAGTTTATTCCATAGCAGTTTCATTACCTTGGTAAGCCTAAAGGGTTTGGACCCTTAGGAGGTACTACCATTATTCTGTTCTTTTAAACTGCTTCACTCAGCCCTCATCAGAGAAGCTTCCTCCTGCAGTAGATGGGAACTACCACAGAAACCCCCACAAAATGGACAATGTGCAGGGAGTGAGAGACTGTGGAGTGCTTAGACTGGATGTCTATGTGGAAAGAGGAGGCAGGAAAAACATCAGAGCCAGAGGTGATGGACGACTCCAAGGAAACACTTTCCTATGAACACTGTGTGTGATAGCACACACAAGACCTGCATGGGCTCAGGGAAGATGGGGTCCCAGCACTGAGAAAGCAGGGTCAACACAAAGTCCCACTCTTCACCAGGAAGCTATTTGCAACTGATAGCTGCTGGGAAAAGGAAAATTAGTTTTCTTCAATGGAATGTCACTGGGTTCATTAGCCATACCACAGGGCAGGGCCCATGCCCAGGAGTAGTTGGCCAACATATAAAGAACTCAATGATATTTCTGTGGTCTTTTTGTTTCATTTTGCTTTGGTTTTAGCACTTTTTTGTCTTACATTAGTTTTGTTTGTTTTGATTTTTGTTTTGTTTTTGTTTCTCTTTGTTGGGAGAGAGACAGAGAAACAAAGAGAACGAAGATGCAGTTGGGTGGTTAGGGAGGTGAGGAGGGTCTAGGAGGAGCTGGGGAAGGAAAAACAGGATTAAAATATATTTTATAAAAAATTACAAATAAAACGCAAATCCCTAAAAAAAAGTGGCCAAGTGATACTGTAGTTCCTCTTTTCATCCTAGCGATTGATTCATACCCAACCTTATAGTCTCTTGCCTCATCTGAGCACTCCATGCCATGTGTTACCTGGGTCCTGGTTTTATGCAACCCTTTCTGTTTATTTCCTGAGATCCCCTCTAGTGCAAAACATTTACTAGCTAGAGTGCATTCTCAGCTTAGGATAATTTGGGGGGCATATGACAAAGGTGTGGGGTACAAGGGAGCCATGATTAATGCAGTATCCAGGGGCTACTCAATTTATTTTCTACACCAAGTTTGAGAAGACAAACAGGGAGCAATTATTAGACCCTGGGAGAAAACAGTTGTATAGGAAAGGTTCCTCTGAAGTCTTGATTTTCTGTCAAGGGTTATATCCAGTTAGAGGCAACCTACCTCGGAGGACCCTAGAGCATAAATACCTTGACTTCATTTTCCTATATCCCTTCATTGAGGTTTCTTATAGAGAAAGCAGAGAACAAGGGGTCCTGTGGATGTAGTCTGTATAAATTAGTTCCCTGGGCCAGAGAACAAGGTGAAGAAGGAGAGAAATACGGAAGCACCAATAAATCACCTGTCACAGAAAGCCTTTGTAGGGTGGTACTAGATTAGAAATCCGAACAGAGGAGCCAGGTAGTCAGTGAGCTAAGAAGTGCACTTCCTTGGAGGCTTCCTAAGGGGATATGGCTGAAGAACAGAGATAAAGAGACAGTGGTATCTCAGAGGTCTGTGCAAAAGTTTCTAATGTCACATTTGAAGGTGGTGGTGAAAACCTTACATTCTAGACACTAGAAATAGTTTTGGAAGTGTGATACACATTTGTGAATTAAGCACCTGAATGGCACATGGAAGGTGGATTAAACAAAGGGCAAGAGTAGAAGCAGAAAGTTAAGTTACTGTATGGCTTAGGGTTTCTATTTCTGTGATGAAAACCATGATTGAAAGTAATTTGGGAAGGAAATTTGACTTGCTCATCCACATCACTGTTCGTCATTGAAGGAAGTCAGGACAGGAACTCAAAAAGGGCAGGAACCTAGAGTCACGCCATGAAGGGATGCTGCCTACTAACTTGGTCAGCCTGCTTTTTTTTTTAAATAGAATCCAGGACCACCAGCAGGGTTGGGGTAGCACCAATCACAATTGACTGGGCTAATTAATCACTAATTAAGAACGTACCCTACATCTTGCCTACAGCCAGCCCTATCTCTTGGAGGCACTTTCTCAATTGAGGTTCCCTACTCTAAGATGACTTTAACTTGACACAGTACTCTCCAGCACACTGCCCCCGAGCCCCCCCATCCCTGCCCAGGCAGAACAGATGAGAATGGCTTACACTAGAATGTGGAATGGAGGTTATAAGAAAGGAATAAAGGAATGGGAGGCTTTTCCTAATTTTACTCTCCTATTTTGGCCCTTTCTTACAATATAAATTCAGTAAATAAAAGATGATGGGGCTAAAAGGCTTTTTTTCCCAAACATCCAGTAGAATGTCTTTATCCTGTCTCCCTTAGCTAATTAATATACAGCCATAATACATCCAGTGCTACTGAATGAAAGCTGTACTGCCAATGGAGAATTTGAGGAGGAACCTATAGCTGTATCATTGGAAAGCATCTGAATGATCAAGTTTCACAGTCTACTGAAGAAATAAACTTGAGGTTCTCATTCTTGGTAGCCTTTGGAAGAGGCATTTCTTTATCCCTCCCAGCTTACCCCCTAAATTCCCCACTGCAGTCGTCCTGGTAGAAGATGAGGTTTCCAGTTAGATCAGAAAGGAGTACTGTTATCCCAGAAGTCTAGGGAGACTGCTGCATTAAACATGTATTTCCATTTTGTTTACAGAGATTCTTCATATTGTGTTACAATTCTACTGATTGAAAAAGTCAACTTGGATTACATAAGTTACTAATTTTTGATAATAAGAAAAATAGTAAATTTTGTGTGTGGTTGAGTTGAATCATTGTGTTTCTGTAATTAAAAATTAATCATTCTTTTTGAAACCAGATCAGCATCTCATGGAATACTTCCTGGACAGAAAAAAGGTTTACTTAAAGTTCCAATATTCGAGCAACAAATAAGGTGTCCCAGTGTACCTATGGTTTTAAATTTTGATCAATTTGCGAAAAATAAAGGAGGAATACCAGAAAATACTGATCCTCGGAAATGGGTTCTGGAGATATTTGCTAAAGACAAACCCCAGAAAACACCTGCACCAGTTGTACAAAAAGTTGTTCAAAAAGAAGTCCGAGAGCCAGTGGCAGAACTCCCCAAACTGGAATTAAGTGATCATCCAAAGTGTAATCTTCCACCAGAGGTCATTCAATATTATGAATCCGAAGTGGAGAAGTTGACTCAAGAAATAAAAAATGAGAAAAGAATTCCTGTGTTTGCATATTGTAGGCGTGGAGCTATTTATAGAAAATTGGGAAAGCTGCAAAGTGCTATGAATGACCTACAGAAAGTAAGTTTTTAAAAAATAAAAATAACTTAATTCACCATTTACATTACTTTTATTTCTACAGTGTTTTGTGTTGAAATGTTGAATAGCAAATGACTGTAGTATGGTTTATGGGATTGTGAAATACAAGTACTGGCATTTTCAGATACTTATTTAAAACACTTTTTTAAATGAGGATGTTTTGTGTTGTGACCATGAAAAGCCACTGGTATCAATGATGTTTGAGAAACTCATTTAATAGTTTTTTTTTCCCCTTTGGAATTTCAACTTATCTGACTCTCTTTCTACATGTGTTTTTCAGGCCATACATGCAGAGCCATTGTTTCTAAATGCCTATTGGCACAGACATTTCCTTTATCTTTTCCAAGACAAAACTACTGATGCTTTGGATGACTTGAATTTTATACATAAATATAATAAAAACAATGCAGGTGGGTTGCATATGGAGACAGTTGCATTACCCATCTCTTTATCTCGGCTTTTGTCATTATTATAAATAAAAATAAACTAATAGGTAGAAGTTCTGTAAGAATGGTATGAATGCTTCAGCTTTACATTTTTTCCAGGTAACTCATTATCTTTGAATTTATTCTCTGGAGATCTGTTTCAGCACAATTCCTTTCAATTATCTTACAAGGAGAATATGAATTGGAAATTGTAGCTGGGAGGTGATTTGTAAGTCTCTTCTTAACCACAAGTTTCTGAATGAGAGCTGTGGTACTGTGAAGGTCTCCAGGTGGATGCAATCCATACTTTTGTCATACATGCTGTTTTCTAACTTTCTGATCTTGGAGACACAGAACTTTCTAGAAATCTGGAATTGTCATAGCTATCTTTGAATTTCTGGCACTCACAGATCCACATGATATAGCAGAATATGGCTGAACATTTTCTGATTTGTGTGTTGGTCTGTGTGATAAAAGTCCATATACATCTGTGTCACTCAAACCTAACCTTTTACTACAATTGTTAATATTGAAGCATTTTAAACAGATGCAGAGGTGAGTGGTAATATTGCCACTTCAGAGGAAGACTATTTGAAACTGCAAATGAGTATTTGGATATTGCAAATAAATTAGGTGTTGAACTTAAGAAAAATAAGGTAGAGTATACTAGTGAAAGGCATTCTGGGACTGCAGTTTTGGGCTGGGATTGCTGCTTTAAATTCTCACCATTAATGAAAAGATTGTAAAGTGGAGTTTTACCTTTCATCTTTAGAGGCATACATGTCAAAGGCAGAGATTTTCAGAGAGAAGAATGACCTCACGCTGGCAATTCTGAATTACAGTCAAGCAATTAAGTGCAGGCCCAAAGATGCTGACCTCTATTTCAAGAGGGGAGAGATGTATGAGTTGACAAACAAACTGCTAGCCATTGATGACTTTTCCAAAGTAAGCTTTATGACAGCCTGTGTTCCTGTGCTCCCATTTATAGATTTTTGTATTGCAAACATTCTTTTCAGACTTATTTTAAGAGTCTTTGGCCTGCAGGCATGCATGGGAACCAAGTGCATGTTTGGTACCTGCAGAGGTCAAAATACCATCATGTGCCTGGAACTGGAGTTACAGATGGTTACAACATGGGTGCTGGGAACCAAACCTCAGGTCTTCTACAAGAGCAATAAACTACTCACAACCACTAAGCTATCTCTCCAGCTCCCTTGCAAAAGGTTTAACGGTCATCACATGTTGATTATAAGTTATATATAATTATAAGTTAGGAACTAGCTCTTCCATTGCTATATGCTGTTGTCACCAATTTCATGATTTAAATGCATTGGTGAATGAATGAAAATCAAAAAATAGATGTGAATGAAATATTGAGGCAACCCTAAAGAAGTCTCAGATTTTCCAGTTCTCTATTCTTAGACTAAGAAATCTTGTTTTAGAGGCCTTTGAAAATTACCCTATCTCTGCTGGGCAGTGGTGGTGCATGCCTTTAGTCCCAGCACTCAGGAGGCAGAGGCAGGCAGATCTCTATGAGTTTAAGACCAGCCTGGTCTACAAGAGCTAGTTCCAGGACAGCCTCCAAAGCCACAGAGAAACCCTGTCTGGAAACACACCCCCCCAAAAAAATAAAAGAAAAAGAAAATTGCCCTTTATTTTAGGTAATAGAAGAAATTGCTTTCTCCTTTTATTAAACTCTTGAATAGCTCATGCTCTCTTCACAAAACCTACCAGTTCTAGAAGAGGCTGTGATCACAGATTGATTCACTCTTTCATTCATTCACAAATATTTGTTGACTGAGACACTGTGTAATGTAGTAGATAAATGGTGAATGATATAGAAATGTTTCCGAGTTATACAGATTCCAAAGAAAAGTTACTTAAGGAAAGAAGGTTGGAGGAAAGTATCTGTATTTGTTGGTAGTTATTGGGATACCAGCAAGGAAGCAAGCTTTTGGTTGAATCACACCCTGAGGCTACAGCAAGACTCTGATCTACTGACTTTTAATTACAACTCTTAGTCCTAAGCCCAATGGACAAATTAAAAGAAATTACTTAAATTATTCATTTGTGCATGCTCTCAGTGTTTCTTCATGGTTTAGCTTGACATATCCCTACTTGCACTTTCTAAAATTCGTGGCCTCTTTTGTCATTAATTACGGTCACATGCATATGTATATTCCAAATTAAAACTTGTTTAGTCTATATAATGTTACTCTTGCTTATTTTGCGAGGGCTGCCATTTGGTATCGGCTAACCAACTGGTGGCTCTTCCCTAGGGAAGAGTATTTATCCCAACCTCAGTGTTCCTTAGTTGCCTGTAGTTCTATGTATAGAGATGAGGCCTCATGATCTTTCACCTGTCCACCTTGTCAGGTCTGTTATTGTTGTCCTTGTTCAGTTCATGTTTAGGCAGTCATGTGGGTGAGACTTAATGGGGTTGGCTTCTGATGTAACTAGGAGACACAGGAATTTCTATAAGTGAAAGTTATATTGATCAAAGCTTTAGCTTCTTATATTTACTGCTTGTCTTTCCCCATGGATGATATTCCTCTCAAGAATTTGATGATGATGGTACATTTCTTAATCTTTAAACACAAATCTGAAAGTTTTAGCATTTTAAAGTGGGTTTCTCTTAGTAATTTGAAGTTGAACATACACTCATATTAGTTTTTTTTCTTCGTTGTGTAATATGTTTGCATCCTCACACCACTACCACTCTAGTGTATTTACTATGATCGCACGAGAACAGATGCATTAATGAAACGTGGGACGTACTACTTTGATAATGAAAACTGGATTGGAGCCATACATGATTTTACATCTCTGTTAAAACTTGTGCCACAAAATTGTCAAGCAAGGTATGTTTAGATGTAAATTTCAAAATGACTTATTATTTAAATATATTTGCAGGAAAATTGCTTGACATAATCTGACTTTTTATTTTAACTTTTATTTATTTAAATTAGAAATAAGCTTCTTTTACATGTCAATCTCAGTTCCCTCTCCCTCCCCTCCTCCCCTGCCCCCCCCCACCGGTCCCCCTATCTCAACCCCTTTCTGCTCCCCAGGGAGGGTGAGGCCTTCCATGGGAGATCTTCAAAGTCTGTTTGAAAGACATTTTAAAACAATGAGCTAATTTTCAGTGTCAAGTTATTTCTTTGTATTTCCAAGTGTCAACTACTTTGTAACTGTATAAAGTATTGCTTACCATCCATAATTTTCTTCTTTACATTTCCTTTGCATTCATTGCTTTTGTATTCACAAGTACAGAAATCTGTTCAAATATTTTTCTGTAATATCTTATTGTAACTGGTATATTAAGCTCCCTTATTTCTTTTTGGTTTATTTTATTTTGTTATTTCTTTCCTTTTAATGAAAATGGATTTTTCTTATCTAATATATTCTGATTAAAATTTCCCCTCCCTGTTGTCTTCCCTGTTCATTCCCAGTTCCCCTCCTACCCAGATGCACTCCCTTTCTGTCTCTCATTAGAAAACAAACAGGCTTCTAATGGATAAAAATAAAATAAGATAAAACGAATGTTAACACATAGGAATAAGACAAAACAAACAAACAGAATGAAACAAGTCCAAGAAAAGGCACAAGAAAAACACCCCATACACACACACACACACACACACTATAAACTTCTACCGTATTAGGTTTCCATACCACCTCTTAAGTGGCCCTTAATTTTTAGCTTCCTCTTCCAACATCTTCTCCCTCAGCCCCTATTCCATTCCCCTCCCCACTTGATCCCCTCCATCTATAACTATGCATTCTCCTTTCCTTTCCTAGGGAGAGCTATCTGTCTTCCCCCAGTCTCTTACTCTATACCTTACCCCTGTGGTTCTACGGTTCGTAGCTTGCTTGTCATTGACTTAACAGCTAATATCCACGTATAAAGTGGATACATATCATATTTGTTTTTCTGGGTCTGAGTTTCCTCACCCAGGATGACTTTCTTCTAGTTCTATCCATGTATCTGCAAATTTCATGATGCCATTTGTTTAACAGTAGAGTAATATTCAATTGTAGAAATGTACCATATTTTCTTTATCTATTCATATGTTGAGGGACATCTAGGTTGTTTCTAATTTCTGGATATTATGAATAGGGAAGCAATGAACCCCAAATTTTTATTGACCTTTTTAGTGGTTTTCTCATATTACTCTTGTCTCTACATTATTTTAGATATTCTCAATTTGTATGTATACTTTATCCGAAATATAGTTATGCCTTATTAAACTTTGATTATTAATTTTCAAATGTAATTTCATTTTAATTTTCAATAATACTTATAAACATGGGCATAAAGTGAAATGAGGTGTGCATTCATTTGTAATAATTAAATCAAACTAACATGCCTATCACATTACATCCATCTTTCTTTATGGAGATTGTCAATTCTTTCTGTGATTTTTGAACTATACAACCCTTAACTGTTAACTATAATCACAATGCTGTACAACAGATACATGGATCTTACTTCTCCTCACTGATCCCTTGTACCCTTTGGCCAGCATTTTTCTTTGTGCATTCACTCTGCACTCCAGCCTGTGGTAGTCAGGACTCTACTTTCTGCTTCTACCAGTTTGCCACATTTAGGTTCTACAAAGTCAAGTCATGTGATAGTTGTCTTTTCCTGCTTGATTTATTTCACTTAGCATAATGCCTCCAGGTTGATTCCTGATGTTACATTTGACAGAATTTCTTTCTTTGTGAAGGCTCAATTGTGCATTCATCACTGTATGTATGTATGTATCACAGAATGGGTGGAAATATTTGCAATCCATGCATCTCATAAAGGGCTAATATCCAAAACACACAAGTATCACACAAATGATTGAGTATCAAGAAAATAATTTGACTTGAAAAATAGGCACAGGACCCAAGTACATATCCCTCAAATGGTAATGAGCAAAAATTGAACAACTTCAACCTCCCTGCTGTTTAGAAAATTTTCAGCTAAATCACATTGACAGGTCACCGCACACCTGTGAGAAATGGCTGTTAATAAGATGTAAAAAGTTTTAGTGAGTGGGTGGGGAATGGATTAAAATTTTTATAATTACATTTAGAGAGAGTGTGTGTGTGTGTGTGAGAGAGAGAGAGAGAGAGAGAGAGAGAGAGAGAGAGACAGACAGACAGACAGACAGAGACAGACAGAGAGACAGAGAGAATGTGCAGAGGTCAGATAACAAGTTGTTCAGTATGTCTGTCCTTCAACCATGTGGGTCCTGGGGATGGATTTCAGGTTGTCAGGATTCATGGAAAATGCCATTACATGGTGAACCATCTCACAAGATGAAGAGAATGAGTTTTAAATCTAATTTAATCTAAAATCTAATTCTTTTCATCTAAAAATTAATTTCTTTGTAGTCAAATTTATCAGTCTTTCATCAGCTTCTTTAATTTTAGAAAATGAATTTCTCTTTTGAGATCAGATTAATAATTTACCCACAGATTAATGTAATTATTTGTAAATTTAGTTTATTGTCTTGTGTGTTTTTGATGTTTATGAGCATGGATGTCTGTGCACCGCATGCATGCCTGGTGTCCTTAGAGGCCAGAAGAGGACATCATATCTCCTGGAACTGGGGTTCCAGATGATTGTGAGTCACCATGTGGGTACTGGGAATCAAACTTGGGTCCTCTGGAAGAGCAGCCAATACTCTTTAACTACTCAGTCATCTCTCCTTCCTCTCATAACTATTTTAAAGGTTACTTTAAAAAATTTAGACTTGTGTTGATGTGTATTATGATATAGGGACAGATTTTTTTCAGATGGGACCTGATGATCTATTTTCAGTTGTGTATCTAACTATACTGATTTTCGTTTATACATGCATATCTATCTATCTATCTATCTATCTATCTATCTATCTATCTATCCTTGAGCTGATGTAGTACACTGATTTATTAACATAAAGATTAATGACCCTTGTATTATTAGGAAACCCCACTTGGTGATCATGTAACATTCTTTTAATATGCTTTTGTTGATGATTTCCATATAAATTATTATGCTTAAGAAACTCCTCTGTGGATTTCTTGTGTTGTCTTTTGTGGCTTTGATAGTGGGAAAACATTGGTAAATGACTGAGTAAGTCTTTGTTGAGCGAGTGAAGAAAGGATAGGTTGATGCTTTAATATTTGGTTGCATTTATCTGTGGAGCCTCTAGTCTCAGCTATGTTTTCAAAATTACTAATTCAGTCTCTTCACTTGTCAGTGGTCTATAAGGGTCATACTTACTGGGGTAACAGAATACCTGCAACTGAGCAATTTGCAATCATCGGTTTACATTCCCACCAGCAATGACTAGGGTTCTTCTTACACAGTATCCATACCAGAAATTGTTGTAGTTTGTATTCCTGATAATAGTCATTCTGAGCAGAACTGAGATACACTCTCTTAATATTATAGGAATACACACACACCACACACACACACACACACACACACACACACACACACACAGGTGTGTATTGTATTCACACAAAACAATGAAAGAAAGCTGTGATTTTTAAAGAGAGCAAGGAAGGGAGTGTGAGGGAGTTGGTAGGGGGAAGTTATAATTATATTGTAATCTCAAAAATAAGAGAAGTAGACCGCTCTGTGACTGCTGCCGCCCCGGCACTTTGCTCCGAGTGGTCCTGTGGTCCATCTCTGCCATGATGACTCACGACTTCCAGAGCAGCCACCAGGACTTCTCCTTCGGGCCTTGGAAGCTGATGGCGGCCAAGACCCACATCATGAAGTCTGGGATGTGGAGGAGTTAGCTGATGAATTGCATATACCATCCCTCCCTGAAATGATGTTTGGAGACAACGTTCTAAGGATCCAGCATGGCTCTGACTTTGGAATTGAGTTCTATGCTACTGAAGCGCTAAGATGTGTAAACAACTACCAAGGGATGCTTAAGGTAGCTTGTGCTGAAGAGTGGCAGGAAAGAAGGATGGAGGGTGAACACTCCAAAGAAGTTCTTAAACCATGTGATTGGACCTATACAACAGATTATAAAGGAACATTACTTGGAGAATCTCTCAAGTTAAAGGTTGTACCTACAACAGATCATATAGATACAGAGAAATTGAAAGCCAGAGAACAGATTAAATTTTTTGAAGTTCTCCTGTTTGGAGATGAATTACATGATCATGGAGTTTCCAGCCTGAGTGTGAAAATTAGAGTAACGCCTTCCAGCTTTTTTCTGCTATTGCGGTTTTTCTTGAGTATTGGTTGTGTGCTTATCAGAATGAGTGACACAAGGCTTTACCATGAGGCTGACAAGACCTACATGTTTCGAGAATATACATCATGAGAGAGCAAAGTTGCTAATTTAATGCACGTTCCACTTTTCCTCTTCATGGAACCTAACGAAATCTCTCAATATTTATCAATCAAGGAGGCAGTTTGTGAGAAGCTAGTATTTCCAGAAAGAGTTGATTCTAGCCCTGCGGACTCAGAAAGCACACCCTTGGAATAGAATGTGGTACAGCCTACTCTCCGTGTAGAGCCTGCTTGGACATCTTGGCTGTTTGTAGGGATATTTTTATTATGAGAATTAATTTCCTTGCTTATGCTAGGATTTTCTATGGCCTTAAAGGAAAATAAAAGTGTGACAGGCAGGTTCCACTCAACTCCCATTTATATTGTCTGTCTTCAAATTCCTACTGAAGGTGTATGCTCTGGAGCAAAATTTGGATTCCTAAATGATCCCAAATTGTGACCTCAGCAGCAGTGATGTGTATGTGTCTCAGGAGGGGGACATGATCTACATCCATCATGAAGCATCGTCTTCTACTGTGAAGAGGCTAAATTGTAAATTCCATCACTGAGTCCCGATGCCTTGTGACTTTCATAGGATTCTGACTGTATGTTAATGTACTGTACTGGCTGGGCTTGGGGCTGGCTTTCTGGTGTTTATTCGCATTTCTGAAGAGTTGTGACCTGTCACCTAGGAAATTAATGTTGTATTATTCATTAGTTCCAGTTTCTGGGCAACGTCATTGTGTGTATTTGTACACACATGTGTTTTTAAAACTTTCTATTTAAATGTCTTTGTCTCTGAGTAGTGTTAGATTATTTATTTTGATAATTCATTGTTAAAAATTGTGGAGAATTAAAAGAATTTATCTTTAAAAAAAAAACAAAAAGGAAGAAGTGGGTGGAGGGAATTATGAGTGTGCTTCTGAGGATTTTATTAGTGTGTTCCGGTGAGGAGTGCTAAGGGAATGTGTCGGCCATTTCTAAATATGACATGTACCATTTTATATTTATTTGTCCAGTGTCTTTTGTAAGAGGAGAATAAATAATAAGGAATTATGGAAAAATAATAGAATAATGAAATAAAATAAATAAAAATATTTATTGACAATTTCTTTTCTTAATAATTTAGTTCTTTAGTCCAATTTTGATTACGTTGTTTTCTTTTAAGTTCTTTATATATTATGTACACTAATACTGTGTTAGATGCATAACCAGAAAAGATTTCCTCCTATTTGGCAGATTGTTTCTTAATCAATTAACTATTTCCTTTGCCATACAGAATTTTGAAATTTCATTAGATCCTATTTGTTGGTTGCCGCCCTTATTTCCTAAGTGTATAGAAATATATTTTAAAAGTCTTTATTTATGTCTGCATCTTGTAATGCCTGCAAATTTTCTCCAGCAATTTTATATTTTCAGGCCTTATGTGAACATCTTCAATCCATTTGGAATTGATGTTCATACAACATAAAAGATATAGATATAAATTCATTCTTGACTTAGATACCTACCTTTTCCAGAACTAGTTGCTGACATGATTGTTTTCCTCTATTTCTTTCTATTTTATAATCTGAATTTGATTTCAGGAATTTTCTACTTTATCAAGATGAAGTAAGTCTCCTGTCTTCTCTTAGAAGCATGTCCTTTGATATGATGTACCCTTTTAGAACTGGGGTAACAGAATATCTGAAACCAAACAGTTTATATTTGATATATTTTTGTTCTTTAAAAGTCAGATGGAACTCACCTCTAAAGTTACTCAACTTCTGTCCAGTAGAGGTCTTTTGAAAGCAGCAGGCATCTTGAGACACCTGAAGAAAGGTTACCTCATCTTTAAGAAATGTCTCATTCATGTCTTAACAAGTAAAAATTTTGTATTTATTCTTTGAGACAGTCTCTCTATGGAGCTCTGGCCTTGTAGACCAGAGATTCTGCAGCCCCTGCCTCCCAAGTGCTAGGATTTAAAGGCATGCACTACCCAGCTGATTCTCAAAGTTTTTACAGCATCAACATTTTGAGGTGCTCTCATAGCATGCACCAGTCCAGGTTGATTCTCCAAGCACATGACCACTGCTGTGATTTTCATTCCTACGGAATCAGTATTTAAATCACTTCTGAGCTCATACTTGGGGCATTATACTACCTCATTCCTAGCTCAGGAGTCATGAGCTTTGACTGTCACAAAAATAATGATCACTAGTCTCGAAAGCTTTTCTCGGGGACCCAAATTTGCTAATGGGATAAAGACAAACCCTTTAAAATAACAGATGTGTCTTTGTGATGAGACAGGCCTGTGTTTTAATACCTTGACTTAACCTTCATGTTTTTCTCCACCTCCATTCTTTTGTGCCAACATTGTTTCTTTCATGAAAAAGGAAACTAAGAATAGATCAATAATAAAGAACGAGTTTTTGACAGGATTTAAACCTTCCCTAAAAGAAATGAGATAAAGTTAATAACCACTCAGCTACAATAGAAACACAATTAATTAGCATATGCGTATTAACAAAGTGTCCCCTATAAAATTTATGTTGTTTTGACAGCAGCATCATGACTAAACTCCCTTGAAAAGCAAAAAGAAAGAATCAGAAATTAGGTGATAGGTTTAAGAAAAAGAGAAAATATCTATTTTGCTGTACATATTAAAATATTTTTCTTTTTTCTAGGACAAGCCGAGGGAGAGCATATTTTAAAAAGAACTTATATAGACAAGCAATCCAAGACCTTTCCGTTGCCATCCACTTAGATCCTAACAATTGGTTGGCACTGTACTACCGAGCCTGCTTATTCAGGAAGTGTAGTCCCCTCAGAGCACTGCAAGACTACAGTGTGTCAGGTACCCAGCTGTGCGTGTGAGAGTGTCTGCTATGAGGATCAGCCTAGTGTCCTGGAGGGGAATACTAATGCCTGCTCACTCATGAAATGTGTAGTTGAATGTCTAGTACTGTGGATACTTACATACTTAAAAATATTTGTTCTTTGTATTTGTGTTGTTCATGTGTGCACATAGGCACAGAGGCCAGAGGACAACTTCAGGAGTTGACTACTTCTAAAATTTTTATTATTTTCTTTTCTCCCACTCTTTTAAATTTAATTTTATTATGTTTTGTGACATGGTCCTTTACTGGCCTCACTAAATGGGCTAGGTTCTGTGGCCAGCAAATCTAGGGGTCCACTCCACTCTCCTTGGTGTCCCCAACACTGAGATTGCCATGCCAAGTTTACCCCCCTCCCACCATGGTCTCTGAGGATAGAACTTATGCTCTTGTGCTTCAAGGTAAGCACTTTCCTAAGATGTCATCCATTCTCCCTAAATCGCTCATATATGCCGAGAGGAACCTCATGTTTCATGTATATTTCCAAGGGCTTTGGGGAAAGAGGGCTGAAGATTGCTGTTCACTTCTCTTTTTATCTTCTCTTGTAATTTCTGCTCATTGCCAACTCCATCTTTGCTTTTCCTTTCCTCAAGCTCTGGCCTTTGCTTTCTCTGATTTGCTTTTCCCAGTTCACTCCTGGTTTTTTAGTGCAGCACCACAGCAAATGTGTCCTCTGTATGAATGGGGCTCTGTCACCCAACGCTTCAGATTTGCAGATTCCTGCAGGGTAATCTGGCTCCACTGACCTTGTCCACCCAGAGAATCCTTTCCTCTGTTCTTCTCGAAAATAACTACCCTTGTTTGCCCCATCAGCCTCCCATGCAGGAAACTGTCATAACAATTCAAAGTCCACTATTGACTTATTCAGAACATACCGGCTTGATTTAAGCCTAACCCTTTCCTATACATTACCCCAAGGATTTAAATAATCCACCATTAAAATAAGACTCTATGCTGATGATGTTTGACATTTATGGGCCACTTCAATACCATCTGAGCTGTGTTGTGGATACTATATATGGGATACTTCGATGAATACTAAAATAATGGTGTGAAGAATTTATTATCACCATCCAAATTTTACTGATACAAACAAAGTCTAGAGTAGTTAAATCTCTCAAATACTTTTTTTTTCTATAAGAATAGTTTTTTTTTTCCCAGTATTACAGCAGAGCCTTTCCTAGCTGGCCGATCATACTGTGAACTGAGTAGGTTAGTGATTATTTGTTTCATTAGCATGGCCATTGCTAACAATGGTGGCAGCTTCTCAAGTCTAGAATGGAGATGTGTGTGTGTGTGTGTGTGTGTGTGTGTGTGTGTGTGTGTGTGTGTGTGTAATGTTACCTTTCAATCCAGAATGGACTTGAGAACCTTAAAAGATATGCATTTGATTCTTACAAAAGGCCCTATGTCTCACTATCATGTTTTTGAAAGTAAAGGGACTTGTCAGGTGACCTCTCAGCTGGGTACTGCTGAGGGCCACTCATCTACAGTGGAGATTGTTTTTGTCATAGGCTAAGTTGCTCACTTCAATTGGGATATCATAGTCAACTTGTTTACCATCATGTTCTTGCCTTAAGTAGCCTCTTTGAAGCTGCCTATCACTGTAGATGGATAGACCTGGCATCTGCCACATGCCTTATTCTGAGCTAGCACACCCACGCCTGTTCTTTGGTCTCTAATGTCTTTGTGGGAATAACAAGCTACTGTGAGCAAAGTCACTCTTCCTTCAGCTGTTACATTCTAGACCAGCCATTGCCACTGACTTATTATATCTTAGTCCCTGTCAGTGTACTGTGCCCCTTTGGACCTTAATCTCTTCACTTTTAAAGTGAGTGGAGTGTTTTGAGTCTATCCCCAGCTCTAATGAATTTGTAAGCCATATTAGCCACAGTATTACTAGTTAGCATTTTTTTTTTTAATTTTTTTGGTTCTTTGAGACAGGGTTTCTCTGAGTATCTCTGGTTGTCCTGGAACTACTAACTTTGTAGACCAGGCTGGCATTGAACTCATAGAGATCTGCCTGCTTCTGCCTCCCTAGTGCTGGGACTAAAGGTGTGTGCCACCAGCAATTTTTTAAAATGTGTATTATTTTCACCCACAAAATGGGCACATTCGTCAAGATACATTGTTTTTGGAATGTTAAATAGGAGAAAACAATAGGAAGGATGTGGTCTGAAACATAACTCATATGATTGCTTACAAATCCAAGTATATACTTTGTATCTTCAGTTCTCATAAATGATGGCTATGATAATCTTAATTGCTTTCTACATCGGGGCATACTCTATACACAACTAAAACTTTGGATGCTGGCAATTTGTGACTTTGAAACTGTTATTTCTCTCGAAAGGTAAGACTTTTCATACTTACTATACTATTATATAAAATTGGGAAAAAATAAAAAGAAGCTTCCCCCCTCACTATTGATAATGTTGTAGAAAATGAGACTGTATTAATAAAATCACACTAGAATTAGAATAATACTAAAATATGTTGGTCAAATAAACTTTCTCATTTCAGTTGCTTTGCAAAATTTAGAGGTTGAAAAGATTTGAGAAGACTTAAATCCATGGATATTATATTAAAAAGTTGCTAGAATGGGCTTGAGGATACTTAGGCTGCAGCTTTTTTGAAGTTAAGTCACTGTACAACTGTCATCAAGTTTTAAAATAATGACAAAATATTTGCTGTTTCTTTCATTGTTATGCACAGTATCAAACTCAATGGAAGTAAAACCTTGTGTTTGGAACTCTTGACTTCATTTTGTTTAGTAAAGCAAAAGAAAATCCAATACCATTTAGCCAACAAGATAAGGAAGAGGCACAAATTGAAAGTTAGACAAGCCAAAAAGCTAACTTAAAAATATATTTTAATTGAATAATTCTCGTTCTTCCTAATGAATCACTCACTAAAATGGAAGTTGTTACAGACAACTAAGGAATGCTGAGAATGGGAGAAATCACCCCACTAACTATCCAATACCAAATGATCAGCCTTGAAAATATACATACACAAAACTTTATATAGATTGAGAAAGTTATTTTCAGGACCATATATGATATATATTCATATATGCAGATAATATACATGTATGTAGATAATAACAATTAATGAAGAAAGAGGCCATGAAAGAGAGCAAGGAGGAGCATATGGGAGGGTTTGGAGGGAGGAAAGGGAAGGGAGAAATGATGTGATTATATTATAACCTGAAAGATCAAAGAAAAACATGAAAGTTTTCAGAAAGAGTTAAAAAAGTTATGCTCTTCCTGTGCTGCCCAGCAGACAGCTATGGAGTAAAAACTTTGAGCTTGAGGAGTAGCAGCATAGGCCTCTGAGGACCACAGTGGCTTTCTTTGGGATTAGGGAGGCAGAGTGACATTTGGGATACAAAGTAGCAGGTGGGTAGAAGGACCCTTGCTGTCCAGCAGTCAGGGCTTCCATGTGAATGGGCTCAGTATGCATTCTGTAATATGTATTTTCCTTGTCTTGAGGAAGCACTGAACAGAGTAAGTGTAAGGTCATCCCCACACTAACAATCACTTGACTATAAGAGAGAAAACAGCATTTATTTGATATTGAAAAGCTAAAATTTTAAGAATATCAGATTGCAATTGACTCATGTATTTCATTAACTTTTTAATAATTGAAGAACAATGGAATGAAATTTAAGTTTCTCAAAAATTTGCTTTATTGTTATTTTTTTAGAACTGCTACTTTGGCTTATATAAATATTGGCCTCATATATCTACTACACCTGGATAATTACACTGAAGCCTTTACGCGATTTTCTGAGGCAATCAGAATTGACCCTTTATATATTCAAAGCTATATTTGTAGAGCAGAAACCTATTATAAGGTATTTAAGACATGAGGATCTTGAATTTAAAAAGTACTTTAATTGTTTGGATATTTATCCAGTGTAACTTATAATATATGAATGTAATATTTTTTTCAGCTAACCATAGAAGCTTATGGATTTATAAGCAATAGCCATTAAGCAGATAAAGTTAACTGTTACCTTCTTACAAGGTGTCCATTCTCATTTTTATAATATCTCTAGCACATGTGTTATATTTTTGTTACAAAACAACATACAGCTATTGTAGTTAATGTATTTCATACAAATAAGAATAAATGATGGGAAGTTTCTGAAAGTCAGTAGCTTCAAAGTTACCTGTAGTTTTATTTTCTCAGGAAAGCTACTGTTAATCTTTTAGAATCTGTTGCTGTATGTATGTATGTATGTATGTATATTGTATGTACTGGTAAGTGTGTAGGTTCATAGAATTGGGTCTGTATATAGAATGGTGTCTTAAGGTTTCTATTGTTTTGAAAAGACACCATGACCACAGCATTTTCAATTAACAGATTTTCTTGGGTTTCAGAGGAGATTTTGAACTTTTGACTTTTGAATATTATTGGAAATGTAAGACAGTCAGGAATTTTGGTGTCAGACTAAATGCCTTTTGTATTATGACATGGTACCAGGTGTGTGGAGCTGAGGATGGAATGCTGTGGTTTAAATGTAAAATTTCTCCCATAAACTTGTATGTTTGGTTCCCCAGTGGTGGTGCTGTTTTAGGACACTGTAGAATGTTAAGGAGATGAAACCTCCCTAGAGGAAGTGCATCACTACATAGCTCTTTGTGTTCTATATCCCACCCCCACTTTCTGGCCTGTTGAGTTGAGAGGTATCCCAACCTTAAGCTCTCATTACCGGGTAGCCTGCTGCTGGGTGTTTTCCACCATGACTGACTGTTATGTTTTCAAACCAAATTCCTCTTAAGTATTAGATCACAGCACTGAGAAAGTAAATAATACCAAGATGGATAGTAGGTACAACCAGGTATGTCAATGTGACCATGCTACTAGTTCATTAATTGTGAAGTTGGAACAAGGGCAGCTTAAGAAGTTCCACAGAAATTCTCAAGTTCATGTAAACAAATTCTGTGTCTTTGGATTTCCCCTTAATTCTACCCATCCTTTTCTTCAAATAGTTTGTGCTATTTCAGTTCCCTTTATTTCCATGTATAAATTGTTTCTGGTATTCTTTTAGCAGGACCCTACCACCTATTTATGGCAGTTCTCCATTGTTTGGGTTAATTTTTCTGGGTTTGTGTAGTGCTCCATTGGCAATGTTTTCAGTGGTGTTTATTTTTGTCTTTGAATGTGTGGAAATTTATATTATGGTTCCGTGGCCATTAATAAGGATAGGGTTAGTGTTTACTTTCTATATGAGTCCCAAATGGCCCTTTTCTTACACTGTTCTTAGATTTTGTTTTATCCATTCACATTCACTGATACATTTTGTTTCAAGTCTGTTTCTCCACCTTATTTTTAAAGTGGAATTTACTTTTTAAGTTACCTTTTGTATGCTAGTTTATTAACTATGTGAAATTTGGTGTAACAGGTGTTAGAAGGTTGAAGGAGAAACCTTGAAAAGTCATGTCAAAGAGAAACATACACATGAAGGTTTTACTTTTGCCATTTATTCATTATAAAACTTGAAGACAAGATTAGAAACAGATTAGAACTCAAGACAATTGCCATGGCTGGAATGCACCTGCCTGCCTTCTGTCTCTGAAAAGCGGGTCACCCCTTCTGGCCCCACGCATTCTTGGGGCCACTCTCTTCCTTGGTCCTCCAAGGACTCATTGATCTAGTCTGGCTAATTGAATGTGAACTCAGCGCTTAAGCCAAATGTCCTATTTAATTGGATAATGGACCATGACTATAACAGAATTCCTGTACCCTATGCATACTACAGTATATCACATGAATGAGTGTAAAATGATCTGTGAATGGATATTTGTAACCATTCTTTAAAGTTGAAGATAAATAATTAAAAAACCAAGATGTTGCCTCATAAGACTTCTTTTTTGAGTTTGTGTATTATATTTGCTTTGGTGAGTTAAGAAAGCTGTACACTTTTTGTATTTACACACACACACACACACACACACACACACACGTAACAACACCAGTGAAAAAAGAGTCTATGAATTTGATATATGGGAGCGTTTGGAGGGTAGAAAGGAGAGGGGAAATGTTATAATTATATTATAATCTCAAAAATAAAAGAAACAACTAAAAATAAGCATAAAGGAAAAATATACTTGTATATTTGGATAAGTTTATATAAAAATTCTGCAAGAAATTGTGGAGGGGCTATTTATCATTCTGTTTATTGTTCAACAGCAGCACAAATTCAAAAGGGCAGTATGTGAATTATCTCGTGCTATTCACCTCCACCCAGATGAAATCCAGTTATATATAATGAGGTATGAGCACAGAAATTGAATTATTCTTGGGATAAATTGACATCTTAGCAAACTCTTGGACTCCCACTATTTATTTTTCCACTCTCCTTATCTCACATCTAACCTCCAAACAACGTCTACCTCTCCACATTTATTTCTTGTTTTTAATTAAATGTTAAGATAACCATATCATTCCTTTTGCTGTACTCTTACACTAAAGTACAGTTTCTGAGAGTGAGGTTCTAGATGACCTTTCTATGTAGATAGCACATATTCTGTCAGAGTAAAGAAATACCTTTACAGCATTGGTTCTGTTTGTATCCACAGCACTACATAGAACCTCCTGCCAATTCAGTGAAAAAAGTGACACTCACAATTGTATTTCAGATTTAATAGAATTTGCTATAGAGACTTGTAAGATATTATTACCCCAAATATAATGTCTCCAGATTAATAGGTCTGGGGAAATGCAATGGGACATATTTTCTAATAAAGATTATTTTGTGTTCAGAAATTACAGAAAAATAATTCTTCCCTTTCTGTTCTGTGATCTTGATTTTAGTATCACATTTCCTAAATTGTTTCTTTCATCATAACTCCATGTTAATTTGTTTTTTTGGACTTTAAAAACTGTTTGATTTTACCAGGCATGGTGGTATATGCCTTTAATCCCAGCACTTGGAGAC